GTGGGCGAGGTGGTGTTCGACGCTGCTCTGTTCCATTCCCGCGTGTCTGGCGGCGACGCGTTGCTTGCATTTGACCATCTGGTCTACTGCATCAGTGCGCCATGCAGTCAAGGCCGCCCTTTGAGATGTCCAACTCGGTGCTCGTAGACCCGGCAGATTCCGATTTGCATGGCGCCCCGCCCGCGCGTTTTTCAACCGGGGAGGGTTGCCGTTGCGCCCCGACTTTCGGATTCTGCAACTTCGTCGTCATCGACGGACTCTGGCAGTCCTCCGCCGCCAGCGAACATCGACTTGCAGGAGGGGAGGGGGGGCGATTCTGGCGGGTCAATCCAAGGAGGCTGTCGGCAATGTATGGTGCTCGCGCCGATCGCCGTCGACGAGCCTAGCTATGTTGAAGGGTGCCGTATGCTACGTCTGTATTGTTCCGGGGTCAAATCCCGGGGAAGCCCCGATCGCGGGGCGCGTCCCAGGTTCAATGTCGTCAGGTGGATCTGGAACACATCTTGGGAACGCCCCGATGCTGGGGAACGAGTCAAGTTCTCAGTTGCCACGGAGTGGGCGCAGCGTTGCAAACAGTGGCTGCCCGCGTGCCCTGCCTGTGCAATCGGCTGATCCGCGGGGCCCTGGAGGACTGGCAGCCTCTGGCGCGAACCCCTCGAGGCTCTCTTTCTTGTTAGCGGTGGCGTGAGCTCGCCGACAGGATGCCGCTATGGGGTCGAAGCCTGCGACTTGCTCTTTGCGCCGTGTGTTCGAGAGTGAACCGTGGCAGCTGCGTGCTTGGCGCGCGCCGTAAGTGACGGACTTGCTGGGCCATGGGGTTTTTGAGCCATGGCTCGAGGTGGGGCCTGGCCCGCGGTCGGTCGGCGGAAGGAATGTGTTTGGCAGGATAGTGCTCGTCGGCCATGCCGTGCGAACGCCTTCGACGGCGCGTTCCTATTCCGTGGCCCGCTGATGGCGGCGGGGGGATAGGGCTCCAAACCATTCCCGCGTGCGGTGGGACGAGTGGCGCAGAGTCCCCCCCCGCGTCGCGGGGCGCCTGCTGCTTCCGCTGCCTCTCCGCGATCCCGAGGCGCGCCCGCCCCCCCCCCACGCGTTGGCATCCTGTATGAAGACCAGGTCTTCGATGAGATGGGTCCCGCTGAACGCCTTGGTTGCCAGCTGAACGCAGTTTTTGTTCTAGGCGCTCTGTCGGCAGCGATAGCTCCGCCGCTCCTGGCGATCTCAGCATTGATGGCGATGGTCGCCTTTGCCCCGCGCCAGTGTCGAACTCGTGGAAGCAAATGCGCATTGGCATTCGACGGCTCTGGCGCCCTTCGAAGACGAGGCTTTTGGCGATAAAGACTGCGACAAAGTACCACTCCGGGTACTGCGGACACCAAGCTTGATTGGGGCATCTGGATGCCGGCGTCGGCGATGCCCTTGATCCTGCGGCTGGTCCTTCTTCCAGTTCAGGTAATGGTGGGGCGAACGCTGGCCTGCGCCCATTGGGCGACCGGTGCCGCGGCCTCCGCGTCCATGTCGGTTCGAGGGGCATTGAAAATGTGTGCTGCGACAACGGCCCGCCTCAGTCCGACGGCGTCGACGCAGCGACAGTCGCCGCGCTCGCTGGCGCCCTCGTCTTACCAAACGCAATGCCAGCGGACGATCCGGTATTTGGTTGGCCGTCCAACTGTTTCGGATCCGCAACGTGCTGTTCTTGGTCTTCATGGTGAAGCGCGCTCAGATGATGATGCTCTGATTCTGGTCCAGACCAGCATGGTGGCAAATTCAGCCACCTCATCAAGCGGCCTCGCGGCCTGCTTTGCTTGTGGCGCGTTGGCGACGTCGCTGCTGCGCGACCGCGCAAGCATCGCCAAAGATGCGCCCCTTCTTCGTGCGCGTGGGTGGGCATGTGGCTAGCAACCAGCAGTTTTCCTTTCGGAGCTCGCTGGATTTGATTTCTTGGCTGAAGGAGCTGGCGCGCGCGATGCTTGGCCGGCGTGCTAAGGTGCTCGATTTTCGAGGCGTGGCCCTCGCAGGCAGGGGCAGCTTGCGCAGGCAATTTGCGACGAAGCTTGGCATCTCTCTGGTCAGGCCCGCGAGCGTGGCAGAGCACAACTCGCCCGCGCTTGCCTGGTAATGGGCCGTTTTGGAAGAACTAGGCTTTCGCTTCTGCAAGAGAATGCATGGGGGGCAAATGGCGGATGCTGGCGAGTTCATATGGTCCCGCATGTCGCCGTCATCTAGACAGCAAGTCTTCTAATGCTTCATCGACGCGCGGCGAGAGAACCAACTTCCGACCATCTCCTCCGCGAGGCGCCAAGGTGGCGATCTTTCGCAGGTCGACGAACACGACGGCGACAGCAGCAAGTCCACGTCCTACGCCGTTCCCCCCGCTGGTGTTGGCGGTCGTCGATTTCCCGCGCCCGCCGACGCGGGCGTTGATCGAATGCGAGCAGAGGGCGACACTGGCAGCGAAGTCGTCCGCAGCATCGCCAGGGTCTTGTCGGGCCGCGACCAGCGACCGTCGAGCGCCGGCGATATTTGCCCGCTCCTTCTGGCTCGCCGCCCCTGACTGGGCTGTTGGTGACGTGCTCCTGGAGGGCCCTCTGCCGGTTGACTGGGATGTCGCGGCCGAGGTTTGCCGCCGCCTCGGGGCGCCTGGTGGCCCTGTCTGTCCTGATGCTGACGGCGCGGGGCCTCCCGTGCCGCTCGTGCCTGTCCATGGCGTTTCCCAGCTGTCGATTGCGAGTTCTTCGTTCGCGTCGCCTCGGGGGGTGCTTTGTCGATCTTGTCTCAAGTGGCGTGGTTCGCGAAGGCGCTGGCCCCGATGTCCGCTGGACAAGCAACAAGGATGGCGCTGCTCGCATGCGTTGGGTCATCCGCCGTGCTGAGGTCGAGAACCAGTGCCCGTGCGGGCCATCGGCGGCGCCTCCAGCTGGGCGTGCGATTGGCCCCCCCCCCCCCCCCTATCCTGGGACAGCCGCGCCCAGGGGCCCTGCGTGCTTGGCAAGTACTGGGGCGTCTGGAAACGCTGGCTGGCCAGTGGTTCTCTATGACAGAGGGTGAGTGTTGGTTGGCAGGGCATCGGTGGCTGGATTGACTGGTGGGTCCCGTTCATGGTTGTCCTCTTGGACCGCCCCAACTTCGTCGATCCCCAGTCTCGTGCCGCCCATGGGTCATGGCGTGGGATATCTGCGAGGCGGTTTGGCCCAGGGCTGCGCAGCTGCGCGGCGGGCATATGGTGGCTATGGGCATGCTGGCGGGGGACATATTGAATGGGGCAGCCGTTGAGAACCCGTGCGGCGCGTCGCTGCGTCGCCAACTTGCCGAGCATGCCCGACCTGGCCGAGAGACCGCTTCCTGCTATTCGCCCCGTGGGGCTTGGGGGCGCGCGCAGGCGTGCATCGGCTGCCCGCGCTAACCTCGAGGAAGAACGTTTCCCCTGGGGGCGACGTGCGAATGAAGGTGTCGGAAGCGAGCTGGCTGGCTGCAGTCCACTCGCGACCGACAAGTTGGTGGAAACGGCATCAGATGGCCCATGCAGCCCCAGCTGCATGGCAAACTGGTTTGCCCTGGTTCGTGGAGTTCCAGCAAGTGGTCTCCGACGCGGTTGCGGGCGCTGTCAATTTGCTTGCGGTGGGTCCCGTGGGTGATCGCTTCCTTCAGACGCTGGCGTGGGCGTTGACGTGCGCCCCTGGCCACATCTGCGATGTCTGCGCGATTCTACAGCGGATTCTTTTCAACTTATCCAAGCAATTGCGCCCCAATTTCCATCGCCAGGGCAGGTAGTTTGGGCGGCGAGCAGTGCTGGGTGGATTGGTGGGTGGCCTGCGCGATGACGCAGCTGAGACATACATTCTTCGACCACGTGCTCGACGCTACTCCCGACGAGAACTGCTGCGAGCTGCTTCGGTTGATTTCCAGCGAGATTTGTGCGGGTATCTGGGGCAAGGAGGAGGGCAAACGCCCTGCGTTGTTGAAAGGGGCTGTCGTCCTTGGCCGTTCAAGAACTTGAGCAACAGCGTTCCGTTCTTCGCTTGCAATGCCAGAACTTCAAGGGCTAGCGCCAACGGGTCATCCTCAGCCCGCGTCTCCGTCAGTATCTCGCGATGGTAAAAATGGTCGTGTCCTCAGAGTGGATGGCAGGAAATTCAGACTCCGCGCCCCGCAGTCTAATGGCCAACCATCGAAACCACCCACACCCAACTGACGTCTGCCATTCCTGATGGCAACCTTGACGAGATCGCATCTTGCATCGCCCTCCTCCAGGTGTGCACCGCCGATATGCCTGCTCGCGACTTTGATTTCGGGCTGTGGGCCTCTCGGCTTCTACGTCTACTGGTGAGGGTGTACTTCTACTTGCTCAAGATCATGATTGTTCCGATCAACTAATTGGTGCGGTGGGTCCCACCACCTGTTGATGAGCTGCCATTCGTCTTCGGAGAGCTGGTCCCTGTCAGCGTCGCAGGGTCTGTTCCCCAGCCGCCCGCCTTCTGCAATTGCCTCTTCAGCGACGGCCCTCAGGACGTCGACTAAACGAGCCGGAGAAGCTCGGCCAGTGGCGCGCGCCGGGCGCGAGCGTAAGGAGACGCTCCTCGCACGCTGGGCCCATCATCTTTCTCCTCCTCCTCCTCCTGCTCCTCCTTCTCCTCCTCCTCCTCCCGCTCCTCCCTCCTCCTCCTCCTCTTCCTCCTCTTCTCCCTCCTGTCTCCTCTCCCCTCTCTCCTTTCTCCTCCCTCCTTTTCTTCCTCCTCCTCCTACTGCTGCTGCTGCTCCTCCTCCTCCTCGTTTTTTTTTTTTTTTGTTATCCCCCTCCTTTTTTACAATTTCTCTCTCTCTCTCTCTCCTCCGTCCCCTGTCCTCCGTCCTCCGTCCTGCTCTTCTCCGCTTCTCCTCCTCCTTCTCCTCCACCACCTCGTTTTCCTCCTCCTCCTCTTCCTCCTCCTCCTCTTCCTCCTCCTGTTCTCCCTTCCTTCCTTGACGGCTCTCCGCTCCAGCCATTGACCGCCTGCGCCCAGTCCCCGGCAGAGCGCCTTCGGCCAGCTCGTTCTCAACGTCTGTGCCGGGGAGCGGGGCCAGGAAACTTTCGTTTGGATCCTGCCTGGGGGTGGGGGTGAGGGTTGCGATGGAGGGAGGGAGGGTGATGATGGAGGGATGGTGTTTGTGTCGAGTTTTTTGTAAAGCAATTGTTCCCTACCTAGGCTCTGCCTAGAAGGGTTCTTACTCTCTTAGCTTAAAGGGGCCGGGCAGTGCAAAGCGCCCCGGGCGGTTCCCCCAGTCCCTTGGGAGCGGTTCCCCCCAGTCCCCTGTGAGCTTTAGCTTTAGCTTTAGCTTTAGCTTTAGCTTTAGCTTAGCTTTGCTTAGCTTAGCTTTAGCTTAGCGTTTCGCTTAGCTTTTCGCTTAGTTAGCTTAGCTTAGCTTAGCTTTAGCTTAGCTTAGCTTTAACTTATTGAGCTTAGCTGTAGCTTAGCTTTAGCTTAGCTTTAGCTTAGCTTTAGCTAGCTTTAGCTTAGCTTTAGCTTAGCTTTAGCTTAGCTTAGCTTTAGCTTAGCTTTAGCTTAGCTTTAGCTTAGCTTTAGCTTAGCTTTAGCTTAGCTTTAGCTTAGCTTTAGCTTAACTTTAGCTTAGCTGTGGCTTAGCTTTAGCTTAGCTTTAGCTTAGCTTTAGCTTAGCGTTACTGTTACTACTAATGATGCTTTCCTAGGGGTTGCAACTCCTAGGTAGGGTCGCACTGGGATAATTGTTGATCCCCCCCGGTGCCCGTTGCGTTCTTCAGTTGAAAGTGCTCCTCCAGGGGCTCGCACCCTGTTTCTTATTGGGGACTTTCTTGGGGCTCAAATTACGTCCCAGATCCCCGAGTTACAGTTCCCGAATCGCGCTATCGCGCGGGACTTCCTGTCAAGTTCTGCTGGAGTCGCGCTCTCGCGCGGTACTTCCTCGCAATTTATTCAAACGCCGCGCCATCGACACTCATGAATCACGCTCTCGCTTTGGCCTTTGCTCACGATTTACTTGGGAGTCGCGCTCTCGCTCGAGACTTCTTCGCGATTCATGCAGGACTCACGCTTCAGCAACCCGCCTGCTCGACCTGGCCGCCTGGGCCCGCCTTCCCGAGCCGTCCGTTAGGGTCCACCTGCCTGGTCTGCCCGTCTGGTTTTGCCACGTGTTTTCTGCTCCTGGCCCCCTTCCTGCCAATCTCTCTCGTGCTCCATCCTCCTCCCTCCCCCTTCCATCCGTCTTCTCTTCCCCTGTGGTAGGGGCTGCGCTAAATACGCATGCCAGGTAAGGAAGATCTACCCCCAATGGGGGTACGATGGTTTGTGTGATATATATATATATATATATACGCGTGTTGAGTGGCGCGCGAACGGTCAGGAGCGAACAGTATTACACTGATTGTTGTTGCTGACGTAGTTGATGATATGGTTGTTGGGGTTGCTCTTGTTGTTCTTGTTGTTGCTACTGTTGTCGTTTTTGTTTTTGTTGCTGTTGTGATTGTTGGCGAGGATGGGGATGAAAACGAAGATGATGCCAATGCTTTTACTCGTTATGATAATGTTGATGCTGTTGATTGAGATGCTGGTGACGATGGGCTACGATAGTGATGCTGGCAGTGATGATGGTGGTGGTGGTAATGATGCTGCTTATGGTACTAATGATGATGGTGATGAGGCTGCTGCTGATGATGCTGCTGTTAATGATGCTAGTCACGATTATAACTACCATCATTATTACTATTATCATGTGTTTTGCTAACGTTATTACTTGCTTAGTATGCGCATCGCTATGATTATTATGATGGTGGGGATGTTGGTGATGTTCATGACGACGCTTATGTGTATGATGACGATGCAGATGCTGCGGATGATGGTGATGCTGATGCTGATAAGGCTGATTATGCTGATGATCATGATGATGCCGATAACGATGGTGCTGATGATGAGGAAGACGATGCAGACGATGATGATGACGATGTAACGATGCTGCTAATGATGGCGATGATGGTGGTGGTGGTGATGCTTACGATGTCGATGATACTGATTGTGCTGACGACGCGACTGCGGCGGCCTTTGCTGCTGATAGTGATGCTAATGATGCTGCTGACGATGGGTGGTGATGACGACCATGATGCTGCCGATGATGATGCTGATGATGCTGATGCTGATGATGATGATGATAATGCTGGTGCTGATGATGTTGATGATGGTTTTGGTGATGTGGGAATACTTTCGGTGATGCTGAACATGATGATGATGATGAGGATGATGATAATAATGATGATGACGATGCTGATGCTGATGATGCTGACGATTCTGATGATGCTGAATATGAAGATGCTGATGCCGATGATGACGATGCTGATGGTGATGGTGCTAATGATAATGATGATGATGCTGCTGATGATGATTCTGAGGATGATGATGATGCTGATGCTGCTGATGATTCTAATGATGATGCTGATGATGATGATGATGATGATGATGATAATGATGATACTGCTGATGATGATGATGATGATGATGCTGCTGATGCTGATGCTGGTGCTGATGAGGATGATGATGCTGCTGCTGATGAGGATGATGATGATGACGACGATGATGATTCTGCTGATGCTGATGATGATGATGATGATGATGATGATGATGATGATGATGATGATGATGATGATGATGATGATGATGACTATGCTGCTGATGATAGTTGAGTTGATGCCATGGGGGATGTGTGAGAACATGGTTGATTTGAGGTGGAACGGATGAGAATGCAGACGATGATGATTGCGATAAAGATGCTGCTGATGATTGCGATGTTGTAGCTGTTCTTGTTGATGGTGGTCATAGCGCTGATCATCCTGTTGATGGTGGCGGCGATGCTAATTTTGAACGGGAAGGGGAATGAGGAACCGTTGGGGAACAGCAGGTGGACTTGCGATGTGGGAGCTGGGTGGGTTTGGGGGGGATGGGGGGGGATGGGGTCGGGGAGGGGAGGGAGGGTGGACGAACGCGCGCGAGGGTGGAATGCAGCAAAGCGGGGGATGTCTGCGCAGCTCGAAGCACAAACCACGCTGTACTTACACGCCATACGTCGCCATCCTGCACTATCGTTTGGGGCTGGCAGGCACCGGCGCGTGCTCAGGCTGTGCTTTGGACTATGGGGACAGGCGGGGGATGAGGGCGCGGATAGGGGGCATGAGGGGGCGAGAGAGAGTGATAGAGCGAGAGGGAGAGGGAAAATAGCGATAGAGAGAGAGAGAGAGAGAGAGAAAGAGAGCGAGAGAGAGAGGGGTGGAAGAGATAATGAGAGAGAGCGCGAGGGAGAGCAATAGAGAGAGAGACAGAGAGAGAGAGAGAGAGAGAGAGCGAGAGAAACAGAAACCGAGCGAGCGAGCGAGCGAGCGAGAGAGAGAGAGAGAGAATGAGCGACAACTATATCGAGATGAGGCGAAGCGAACGGGTCACCAGACGGAGGCGAAGGAGGAGGATACATATTAGATGGGGAAGGTGGGCGAGAACGAGGAGGAAGATGAAGAGGAGGAGCAGCATGATGAGCATATACGTGGATGAAGCGGGTTCAGCATATAATGGTAATAATGGGGGGGGTCACGTAGGAGGGAGTGAGGTGGACGATGGCGATAATGATGATGGCGATGCTGCTGACGATGGTGCTGGTGAGACCCATCAGCGTTGAGGACGGTGGGAGGGACGAAGGAGACCGAGCGACTTGGATCAGGGTGATGGGGTTATCGGAGGAGGACGATCAAGACGAGGAGATGACTTGGACACATGATGATACTGCCTATTAAGCGCAGGATGGGGAGGAGGAGTGATGAGGAGGAGGAGTGAGGGGAGGACGAGGAGGAGGAGGCGGAGGAGGAGGAGCAGGAGGAGGAAGAAGCGGCTGAGGCGGATGATGAGTATGTGGAGGACGATCATTCGGCGAAGCAGCGGCGCAGGAGAAATATGACGAAGCCAATGATAATGATGATTCGGATGTCGAGTATGATGAGAGTTATGGTTATTGCGAGGGCGGCGAGGATGAACGATGATGACGGTGACGATGATGATGATGGTGAGGCTGCTACTGCTGATGATGATGATGGTGATGATGCTGATGATGATGACGATGATTATGGTGACGACGATGGTTCTGCTGCGGATGCTGATGATTCGATGATGGTGATGCTGATGATGCGGGTGCGGATGATACTGCTGACGATTATGCTAATGCTGCTTGTCATTATGGTGCTGATGATGATGGGGATGGTGTCGATTATGGTTATGCTGATGATGAAGATGACGGCATGGCGATGCTACTGCTGATGGACATGTTGTTGAGGATATGGATGCCGATACTGGCGTTGATGCGGATGTTCGGAACGACGATCGCGATGATGACGGTGCTGATGACGATACAGATGATACTGATGATGCTGGCGATGATGACGATGATGACGACGATGCTGACGATGTTGATGACGTTGTTGATGCACATGATGATAATGTCGCTGATGATGATGACGATGGTGATGATGATGATGATGATGATGATGATGCTGTGACTGATGATGATGATGATGATGATGATGATGATGATGATGATGATGATGATGCTGATTCTGTAGCCGATGACGCCGGTGCTGCTTTTGCCGGCTGGTGAAGATGTGGACCTTGACGTCGACGACGAGGCTGATGACTAGGATGGTGATGATGCTGATGATGATGGTGATGAGGAAGCTGAGGTGGCGGCGCCAAATGACGCTCAAGTATATCCTGATGCATCAGCTGTTCAAGTTGGTGATGATGACGTTGACAAGCGTGATGCTGACGAGGATGATGCATATTACGATGCAGTTTATGCTGGTGATGCTGACGATGGTCATAGTACTCCGGGCGATGCTGCTGATGATGCTGATGCTGATAATGCTGGTGTTGATTATGTTGGTTACAATGATGATGATGCTGATGCTGATGCTGATGGTGATGATGCTGAGTATGATGACGATGATGGCGATGACGGTGACGATGCTGCTGCTGATGATTATGTAGATGCTGCTGCTGATGATGCTGATGCTTGTGATGATGATGATGATGATGATGGTGATGCTGATGCTGCTGATGACGATGATGATGACGACGATGCTGATGATGATGATAATTCTGCTGATGTTGATGATGCTGATGATGATGGTGATGATGATGATGATGATGCTGCTGACCATGATGATGATGATGCTGATGATGATTATGATGCTCTTGATGATGATAATCTGATGATTATGATGTTGATGATGTTGGGCATGACGATGATGATGATGATGATGATGATGATGCAGATGATGATGATGATGATGATGATGAAGAATCTGATGATGATGCTGCTGCTGATGATGTTGATGATTATGATGATGATGCTGCTGCTGATGATGATGATGAGGATGATGATGAGGATGCTGATGATGATGATGCTGATAATGATGATGATGATGATGATGACATGATGATGATGATGATGCTGATGATGATGATGCTGATGATGATGATGATGATGATGATGATGATGATGCTGATGATGATGATGCTGCTGATGATGATGATGACATGATTATGATGATGATGATGATGATGATGATGATGATGATGATGATGATGATGATGCTGATGATGATGCTGATGATGATGATGATGCTGATGATGATGATGATATGATGATGATGATGATGATGATGATGATGATGATGATGATGTGATGATGATGATGCGGGGGAAGAGGAGGAAGAGGAGGAGGAGGGATAGGAGGAGAGGAGGAGGAGGAGGGGAGGAGGAGGAGGAGGAGGAGGAGGAGGAGGAGGAGGAGGAGGAGGAGGAGGAGGCGAGGAGGAGGAGGAGGAGGAGGAGGAGGAGGAGGAGGGAGGTGGAGGAGGAGGAGGCGGAGGAGGAGGAGTAGGGAGGAGGAGGAGGAGGAGGAGGAGGAGGGAGGAGGAGGAAGAGAGGCGGAGGAGGAGGAGGAGGAGGAGGAGGAGGGGAGGAGGAGGAGGAGGAGGGGAGGAGGAGGAGGCGGAGGAGGAGGTGGAGGAGGAGGAGGAGGAGGTGGGGGAGGGAGGGGGAGGAGGAGGAGGAGGAGAGGAGGAGGAGGAGGAGGAGGAGGAGGAGGAGGAGGAGGAGGAGGAGAGGAGGAGGAGGAGGAGGAGGAGGCGGAGGAGGAGGAGGAGGGGAGGAGGAGGAGGAGGAAGAGGAGGAGGAGGAGGAGGAGGAGGGGAGGAGGAGGAGGAGGAGGAGGAGAGGAGGAGGAGGAGGAGGAGGCGGAGGAGGAGGATAGGAGGAGGAGGAGGAGGAGGAGGAGGAAGAAGAAGAAGAAGACGAAGACGAATAATAATAATAAGAAGAATAAGAATAATAAGAATAAGAAGAAGAATAAGAAGAAGACTAAGAAGAATAAGAAGAAGAATAAGACGAATAATAAGACGAATAAGAAGAATAATACTAAGAAGAAGAAGAATACGAATAAGAATAATAATAAGAAGAAGACGAATAATAATAATAATAAGAATAAGAATAATACTACTAATAATAAGAAGAATGAGAATAAGACTAAGAATAAGAAGAATAATAATAAGAAGAAGAAGAAGAAGAATACTAATAATAAGAAGAAGAAGAAGAATAATAAGAAGAATAATAAGAAGCAGAAGAAGACGAATAAGAAGAATAATAATAATAATAAGAAGAATAAGAATAATAATAAGAAGAATAAGAAGAAGAAGAAGAATAATAATAATAAGAATAATAAGAAGAAGAATAATAAGAATAATAATAATAAGAAGAAGAATAAGAATAATAATAATAATAAGAAGAATCATAAGAAGAAGAAGAGGAGGAGGAGGAGGAGGAGGAGGAGGAGGAGGAGGAGGAGCGAGGAGGAGCGAGGAGGAGGATCAAGATCAGGACCAGGATTCTGATGATGCCTGCGGGGGTGGCGGGGATCTGAGCGTCCAGGCGAGAGAAAGAAAGAGCGGCGCCCAGCTCCAGTTATGGCCTCAGCGACGGGCCGTCCTCCTACTGCCAGGTGTTCTCTTTGTGAAGTTGGGAATGACAGGCCACTGATGGGGGGGATGAGGAGGAAGAGGAGGAGGTGGTGGAGAAGGGCACGGAGGAGGAAGAGTAGGAGGAAGAGGAGGAGGAGGAGGAGGAGGAGGAGGAGGAGGAGGAGGAGGATCACAATAGAACATCGTGGGCGATTCCCAGGGCCAGTCGGTTCGGATCTGCATGCAGGTGGACCGATTGCGTCTTCAGCTTCAGCTGCGGAGGAGGAGGAGGAGGAGGAGGAGGAGGAGGAGGAGTTCCAGAGTACTTCGTGGGCGATTCCAGGATCCCCAGGTGCATCGATGGCGTCCTCAGCTCCAGGCGCACTGACTGCGGGGGCTCTGCGGGACCTCCCGCGGTGCGCGCAGCCGCTCGTGGTTCCGCGGGGCGCTCGGCGAGCGCGGCGGGCAACGAGGGGAGGTCAGCGCACGCCCTGACCTGCTCCCTGCGCCTGTCAAGTCCTGAAGAGAGAGAGCGAGAGAGAGAGAGAGAGAGAGAATGAGAGAGAGAGAGCGATGGACAGACAGAGAGAGAGAGAGAGAGAGAAAGAAGAAGAGATAGAGAGAGAGAGAGAGAATAGAGAGAGAGAGAGAGAGAGAGAGTCGACGGCGCGCCGGGAAGTCAGAGAAGGCAGGCCTTCTCATGAGGCGTCTGGGCTTCTCAGAAGCACTCCAGCCTTCGGAGGAGCCCGCCGTGGTCTCCTAGAGGGCTCAGTCAGCTTCTCAGATGGCCGGAGGCCTCCTGGAGCCGCCTGAGAAGACCCGCCCCCTCAGCCTTCCCCCCAGAGTGCGCCGCCGAAGAGAGGGAGAGAGCCAGGAAGACGATTATCGGGTTGGGAGGATGGGGTTGGGAGAAATGAGGATATCCTTACCCGTAGGCGGCCGAAGGGTATCGTTCATTGCATCTGGATGCTAGTGCTCATGCCCCTCATCCTCCCAATTTCTTCTTCCCAACACGATAATTATTGTCCTCGAATTTTACTAGAAAAAACCTTGTCAGTGGATGATTTGAAAATTCGTGATCTGGATATTGAGATCGATTTTGAGATCGGTAGCGAGATCGATTGTGAGGACGGTAGTAAGGTCGACCGATAGTGAAGCCGATTCAGTGAGATCGATAGTGAGATCGTTTGTGAGATCGCTCGTGGGATCCATAATAAGATCGATTGTGAGATCGATCGTGAGATCGATTGCGATATCGATAGTACAATCGATGGAGAGGTGGGTCATACGATCGATGGTGAGACCGTTCGATAAGGAGATCGACCAAGAACCTGGGAACCCGGAAAACAGGGAACCTCGCCGCCCACTGAAATCGTCCTGGAACCAGCAACTGGGAATCCGGGAACCCGGAAGCGGGAACCCTGGAACCCGGCCGCCTACCGAAATAGGCCCCGAATTTTCGCCAAATCTTTCAACATCCGCTAGGACCCTTTCAGTGCAAACACTGTCTGGGGAATATATACATGTATTTGTGTACATATATATCTATATTTATATATATATATATCTATAGGATCGGATTGGACCCCTCGGAGGCAGCAGTTCGTGAAGTCAGGAACGTCAGGCATCCATAGTACGAGTATCTGTACCCGATCGGCGCCCCAGGAGACTGGGTGGGACGGAAACGCTGCGTGCCGTCACTGACGGCATTGGGACAAAGGGGTCTCTGCGAGGCCGCGAGGCCTCTTTGGGGGGTGTTCGCATTCGGTACGGGTGGAGGAGTGGGAGCGAGCGAGGTGGGGCTCGGGGCGGGGGGAGCAGGCTGGCGGGCGAACAGAAATGCGCGCGCGAGTGCCCGTATCTGTCTCAGGCGGCGGCGCATCAGAGCCACTCACAGGTAGTCTGTCAGCGATCTCTCGTGCGTGTGCCATGAGCGCAGCTGTCTTGATTGGGCAAGGGCCTCGGAAACGCACGGTGGGGTCTCCTGTGCCCAGAGAGTCAGTAGTGGCCGTCTGCACTGAAGTCGGATGCATGTGTGGGCGACCCATGCTCGCATAATCTGCAGTGGGTGCTATCCGCGATGACGGCGGACTCAGAGGTAGGCGTCCCATGCCCTTGGAGTCTGTAGTGGCCATCTGCGATGTAGGCGAACTCTGTGGGCATCCCATGCCCCTGAAATCTGTAGATGCTATCTGCGATGTCAGCGAACTCAAGGTGTTAGGGCTCCCCCAGCCCTTAGAAACTGTAGATGTTTGATGCTGCGATGTAGGAGGGGCTCCCATGCCCTCGTCCATATTCGTCGGAACATGTGCTGTGCTCCACTTCGCACAGCTGTGTCGCGTCCAACACATACGGGTAATTTGCTATTTGCGTCGTTTATTCCATCATCAGGTCGTCCATCTTCGTCAGCTGCGTGTGTAGGATACGCTCCATGTGCAGCATCGGTCCTTGTCCTGGCTTGTTGGTCGAGCCCATCTGAAGGAGTGCGTCGTGGATCACTGTGAAGTCGACGTCGTTGTTCCGCTGGAAGCTCAGCTGGAGCTTGCACTGGTTCTGGTCGTGCGTGTCGCTGGTCCATCTGCTGAAGCTTCTCGTGGAGTGCTTTGAGGTTCTGCTGCTTGAGACCTCCGACGGCTGCGCCTTCCCGGCCGCGGCCCTCGAGGAGGCCCGCGAGCGCGGCGGTGCCGATGGTTCCCATCTCGGCCAGCTCGGTGTCGATCTGCGCCTGGGAGGTGGTGCTGCGCATATCATCGGCTCGACGTGTCCAGGCTCGGATCGGGTTGCGGATGGCCTTTCGATGGTCTTGGCGCCAGGAGGTACGAGGCAGGTCTTGGCCAGAACGGCCTGGGTGTGCCGCTGTCCCGATGCGACATTCAGCAGCAGCTTCACGACGAGGGGGAGCATGCGTTGCATGGCTCTCACGTCCATCGCTTCGAGCAGTAGGGAGTCCACGCCGATCTGCTTGTTGTTCTTCGCGCCGTTCTGCCGCTTTCCCCGTGGCCTGTCTCCACGACGGCCTCGCTCCACTGGTGCACAGCCTTGCGCCTCTCCGCTCGCGGGCTCGCCAGCTGTGGGAAGTGAGCTCATCTAGGACATGGGGACGGGGGATGGGTAGGCGAGCGTCAGAGATGTGGGCCTGGAGATCAGGAGGGGTAGGGAATGACCGCTCGCAGTCCTCGCTCGGGCAAAAAGCTGCACAGAGTCGTTCGCTTCGAAGGTGTAGACTGAACCCTGTTTCTGGCATCGCCCCGCTCGATAGGCAGCAGCAGGGTGGTTTATCGCGGTCCGTCGGCTCGCAGATGTCGATCGGCAGTTCGGGCATAGGGTGCGTAATCGTGCATCTCGTGTATGCGCAGACCTGTCTGTGTTCTCCTCCCTCCCCGCTCATCGTTTGACGTGCTCGGAGCGCGTGTTTTTTTTTTTTTTTTGCTGCAGACAGGCAGATCGCACCATCTTCACACAAGAGTCCGCGCGTGTGGCTGGGCCAGGGAGCGTCTGTCTCTGGCTGGATGCGGCGCGGCGGGGCGGGCTGCTCCAGCGTCCAAGCGGGAGCTCTAAACATACGTCACGGCCAGGGGTCGGTCTGAACATGTCTAGTAGGCCGTCGCCAATCCCATCGAGGCAGGCACGTCCGTCTGCAAACACCTGCAGTATCTTCATACCCTCGTGGAACCGATGTCGCCAGGGGTTGTCCACATGCGTGTTTGTAGGTCGTGCAGGCCTCACAGGTGCCCAAGCGAACTCAATCGTGGTCGTCTCACATTGTAGCTTGCCGAATGCACTCGCGAGCAGTTGGGCATGATGTGCAGGTTCTTTTGCTACTCGTTGCCATCGTTGCAGGGGCAGTAGGTGAAGGTCAAATGAGGGTGGGACCATCTTCAGCCTTTTCCAAACCTCGATGGATGTGATGGTTCTGATGACCTCCTTAGTGCCACTCTCGCCGTTGTCGTCAGCAGTCTGCTTGATGTAGGCGGTTCCCTGTAGCAGAGCACGGGCATAGCGGGCAACGCATGCATCAAGTCGTGCAAGTTGTGGTGCAGTAAGGACCCGTGCTTCCAGACCAGAACGTGCAGCGGAGATGACCTGACAGCGAAACACCATCGTCCGTCGTCCCAGGTACCTGCATGTGGTCCAGAAGCGCCCCATACTTCTCCACCCTCGAGCAGTAGCAATGCAGCGCGCCTTGAGCTCGGCGTTGTTGAGGCCGTTTGCTTGCATCACGGAGCCGAGGAAGGTCGTGGAGTGGTGCACTTCGCCGTCAATCTTGATCTTTCCGTAATGTAATGAACGTGCGTAGCGATGTGCCCCTTTGTCCAGGAATGTGGGTAAGGCAGCTTTCTTCCCTTCGTTCTGCTGTAGGCCGATCTCGTGGAGCTTGCTCTTGAGGATGTTGTCAGAGTTCTGTAGCTTGTAGGCTGCTATCTGCGCGTCGTGGCACAGGTGGGTCTTCGTGAGGTCGTCAACGTACGTGCGCACGCTGGAGGTGGCGAACCCGCACCCGGCAACCAGAGACGTGGTTGCGTCAGTGTTCAGCAACTCGTTCCATGCCGTGGTCGGTGGCATGAAGGACTCGCGGAACTTGGTCGCAGCGTCGGAGTCCCCCATGAAGCAACCGATTGTGTTCTGATAACCTTGTGTGTCGATACCGTCCGTTATGACGCATGCAGCTCGTCGGTGGCGCCCCTTCATTATGGTACAGTCTCCAGGTAGGTAGATGGCACCCACTGCTGCATCGAGGTGGGGGTGGTTGACCGATGCGAAGGCGTTCGTCATGTCGTGCTTAGTGGTGATGTGGCTGAGCCGTAGTTGTTCTAGTTTCCACTGCAGAGCGATTCCGACTGTGATGGCGACAGATCTGGAGCGCGCCCGTACATAGCCATGCTATGGGTCGTCGATCGGCGTAGTCGTCAGCGTCTGTCCAGATACGACCCAGGCTTGGCCAAAGGGACTTAGCCCATGGAGAAGTCGTGTGCCTCGTGTGCGTGGTTTGTTGTTCATCTTGATCATCTGGTATGCCTGAGATATGTTCCACCACGCGTTGAGTCGTTGATGTTGGCGAACAGCTGCTAGT